AGAATCACTTAAGCCCAAGAGTTGGAGGTTGCTGTGAGCTGTGATGCCCCAGCACTCTACCAAGGGTAACACAGTGAGACTCTGTCTCAAAAACAAAACAAAACAAACAAAAAAATCCTTATTTTACAGATAGCATAAATCTAGTGTTTGTATATGAATTATAGGTCCACAGTCCCTTATTGGAGACCCTTGTGTTTCAGAGTTTATTTTTATTTATTTATATTTTTTGAGACAGAGTCTTACTCTGTTACCCTGAGTTTGAGTGCTGTGGAGTCATAGCTCACAGCAACTGCAAATTCCTGGGTTAAAGCAGTCCTCCTGCCCCAGCCTGTATGTGGGACAACAGGTGCCTACCACAATGCTTGGCTATTTTTAATAGAGACATATTCTCTTTCTTGCTTAGGCTGGTCTCGAACTCCTGAGCTCAGGCAGTCCACTCACCTGAGCCTCCTGGAGAGCTAGGATTACAGGCGTGAGCCACAGTGCCTAGCTGTGTTTCAGAATTTAGAAGTTTTAAGAGTTTAGAAAGATGACATGCTTCATATACCATAATTTATAAAACACTCCAGTGAGGTCAAGGGTAGCACCTCTTAATCAAATATGTATATTCAGATTTCTGTAGCAAAATGAATGGATATTCACACTAAGTGGGATAAACGAAGACTACATAGCTCCTCGAGTTCAGGAGAAGTTTTGCCACAAAATGAGTTGGAGAAAAGAACTTAAGGTTTTCAGAACTTTTGGGGTACTGAAATTGGGGATAAGGGGTTGTAGGTATGTGAACAAAGTACTTTTAAGCCACTCGAGGTACTCCAGAAACCTTTTGATATATGGTTGACAAATTTATTATTGATATTATTTTCTCCTGAGTAAAGCTGTAAGCTAGTCCAGGCTGGGCATGGTGGTTCACACTTGTAATCCCCCAACACTTTGGAAGGCTGAGATGGGAGGATTGCTTGAGGCCAGAAGGAGTTCAAGACCAGCAGGGGGGCGTATGCTCACCTAATAGGCACAATGTAAGGGTATATGGCATACCTTTTGGGTGAGAGGCACAACTATAACAGGAATATTACCTAGCAAACACAAACTTTGTAACCTGTTTCTACCCTCATTGTTAATCTGAAACGAAAAAATTGAAAAATTCGGGTGGCGCCTGTGGCTCAAAGGAGTAGGGTGCTGGCCCCATATGCCGGAGGTGGTGGGTTCAAACCCAGCCCCAGCCAAAAACTGCAAAAGAAAAAAAAAATTTAAAAATTCAGGTTCATTCTTATGCTACCTTACATTGTGATACTCCTCTCTTGAATAAAACTTCTGCATCTCTGAGACACACACACACACACACACACATACCCCAGTGTGGGCAACCTAGCAAGACACCATCATTACAAATTTTTTTTTTTTTTTTTTTTTTGAGATGGAGTCTCAAGCTGTTGACCTGGGTAGAGTGCTATTGCGTCATAGCTCAGAAACCTCCAACTTGGACTCAAGCAATCCTTTTGCTTCAGTTTTTCTATTTTTAGTAGTGACAGAGTCTTGATTTTGCTCAGGCTGGTCTCAAACTTGTGAGCTGAAGCTATCCACCTGCCTTGGCCTTCCAGAGTGCTAGGATTATAGGTGTGAGCCACCACACCAGCCCTCATTACAAAATATTAAAACAAACAAAAAAATGAGCTGGGTTTGGTAGTGTGTACTTCTAGTTCTATCTACTTGGGAGGCTGAGAAAGGAGGGTGACTTGAGTCTAGGAGTTTGAGGTCATAGTGAGCTATGGACTTGCAGGGTGACAGAGCTAGACTCTATTTCTTCCACATGTGCTAGTTCACCCCTGTAATCCTAGCACTCTGGGAGGCTGAGGTGGCAGGATCGCTTGAGCTCAGGAGTTTAAGACCAATCTAAGCCAAAACAAGATCTGGTCTTTATTAAAAACAGAAAAAATTAGCCAGGCCTTGTGATGGGCACCTATAGTCTCAGCTACTTGGGAGGAGTATCACTTGAGCCTGGGAGTTTGAGGTTGCTGTAAGGCTGATGCCATAGCACTCTAGCCTGGGCAACAGAGTGAGACACTTGTCTCAGAAAAACAAACAAAAAAGACCCTGTCTCAGGAAAAAAGCTAGCCCAGAAGGAATTACCAGTTATTATTTGTGTTTTATAAAGTAGCCTGGGCTTGGCGCCTGTGGCTCAAGTGGCTAAGGTGCCAGCCACATACACCTAAGGTGGTGGGTTTGACTCCAGCCCGGGCCTGCCAAACAACAATGATGGCTGCAACCAAAAAATGGCCAGGCATTATGGCGGGCGCCTGTGGTCCCAGCTACTTGGGAGGCTGAGGCAGGCGACTTGCTTGAGCCCAGGAGTTGGAGGTTGCTGTGAGCTGTGATGCCACGGCACTCTACCCAGGGGGACAGCTTGAGGCTCTGTCTCCAAAATAAATAAATAAATAAAGTAGCCTGTAATTTGGAGCCTTTGTGGATGGTCCAGTGAAATTCCCTGACTGGCCTACCTAAATGGGAAAGTCAGGTTTATTCAGGCTGCTCCCCCTACCTCCTCCATGCCTTTTTTGTTCACCAGTGTTCCTCACCCGAGTGCCTTTCCTTCAGCCTCTTTTTTTGGGCCCCAGCTGAAAGAATACCTTTTTTCTGATGCCCTCGAAGACCACACTGGTCATTTTCCTTCTGTGACCTCCTGTTTCTCCTAAAATCCTGCTGTACTGTGTGACATTTAGATCACTGTTTTATGCACATTTGTGAGCTTTTCTTCCACAAAAAGATCTTAAACTCCTTAAAGAGCAGGAACTACCCTATATCCTTGCTCCGTATGCCCTGGTCGCAGTATTACCGTAAGGCAATAAGGGGAACTTTGTAAAACCAATACAGGACCTTGGGTTCAAGTAAATTTGAGAAGTGCCACCTGCTTTGTTTCCCTCTCCAAGATTTGCTATGCATATTGGCCTTGAAGGCTTGGAGAAGGCTTCCTATAAAAACCCCTATTCTAGCCTCATCTCCCCTGCATTTACCATAAACATTTGGCCTTAGAACTCCCTCTTTCACTGGGCGTGTCCTGCTCATCTTGTCTTCTACTCTGCACTGGGCTAACAAGAGTACTCGGTGAGCGACTGTAAATCAACTGGCAGGGCATTCCCTCTTTCTCATTTATTCTATACATTTACTTAATGGAGCCCTTTTCATAGAAAGTGTCAAGATAAAAGTGCCCTCATTTAGATTAAAACAAATTCTAAACCAGCATGATGGCTCATGCCTGTAATGGTAACACTCTGGGAGGCCAAGGCAGGTAGATTGCCTGAGCTCATGAGTTCGAGACCAGCCTGAGCCAGAGTGAGACCTCATCTCTAAAAAAATAGGTGGGCATTGTGGTGGGCACCTGTAGTCCCAACTGCTTGGGAGGCTGAGGCAAGAGAATCACTTAAGCCCAAGAGTTTGAGGTTGCTGTGAACTGTGACACCACAGCACTCTACTGAGGGTGACAAAATGAGAGTCTGTCTAAAAAAAAAAAATCTTAAGTTAGTGAAGTCATAACGTTTTACTGCATATAGTTTTTTGATTTATCTCTATGGTCCCCAGACCTGTGAATAGGCTTTTACGAAAAACCCTGTGCTAACTTCCTGGCTAGAAGAAAACCCCCGCATCATTTCAAGAAGTTCAGAAGAACAGCTGAAATTTACAGAGATCTCTGGGTGTTGGGTGTGGGGTTTCCAGTGTGGCGAGAAGGAGAAGTGGGAGTTCTGCAATTTGTTGAGGTTTATTTTCCAAACTTAGCCCCCAAGTTTTTCTTCCCCTATTTGTGTTCAAGGCTAAGACATACATACACAGGACATGGAATGTGTCTGCTGTGAATCCATTTTAGTTTAGAATGTAGAGACCTCCTTGGCCAAGTGAGGTGGCTTACATATGTAATCCCGCTCTGGGAGGCGGAGGAGGGCAGATTGCCTGAGCTTAGGAGTTTGAGACCAGCCTGAGCAAGAGTGAGACCCCGTCTCTTAGGATTCCAAGGTGGATGGTTCTCCTTTTGCCCTATCACGTGACAGGGTCTGCTCCAGCCAGTAAGCATATCAGCTTGGGCAGGGAGGTCCTGGTGAAGCTTTCTTTCAAGGACTCTAATAAGGAAAGATGTTTATCAGTGAAGAGCAAAGGTGTTGAGAGAGGTGTTAGTACAGGGTTTTTCGTAAAAGCCTATTCACAGGTCTGGGGACCATAGAGATAAATGAAAAAACTATATGCAGTAAAACGAGAAGTGAACTAGTTTGAGAGAAGTGAACTAGTCTGAGATCAGAGAGCCAAAGAGCTTTTAGTCTGGTTTTCCTGTTTGCCTCTGGCCCAAAGTCTCTAGTGAGGTCAGCTGGGGCCATGATGTGAACCAGTCTGAGATAAGAGAACTCAAGAGCTTTTAGACCGGGTTTCCTGATTGCTTCTGTCCCCTACAGGAGAGAATACGCCATGGTTAGAGACCTGAGAGTCCTGAAAGAAAGTGTTTAGAGTAAAATAGTGGTGAGGGAACCAGAGCCGAGTCCCAGTTCTCTTGTTTGGCTTGGCGTGGTACTGGGTATTGCGGCCTCGCCTGCTGGGGATCTGGAATGTGAAAGTCACATCTTTCATGTTTCAGGTGGATCCTGTCCCTCTTGCCCAGGACTTAGAGCCTTTAAAATATTACACAAAAACAGAAACAGATAAGTAATGGAGCTTAGACCATAACTAGGGTTCCTGCCTCTTGAGCTTGTCTCACTCTAGTATTGTTTCCTATGTTTGTTTCTTTTCTTCAGAAGTTCTTCATGACACCTTCGCTTCCCTGGGCTATCATGTGCAGTCTTTATTGCGTCTCACAGTGAAGGAAATAGACCAGGTTCTTAACCAAGTTGCCCGAATGCCCCAGCACCGAGACTATGACAGCTTCGTGTGTGTCCTGGTGAGCCAAGGAGGCTCCCAAAGTGTGTTTGGTTTTGGTCAGACTGACTTAGGCTTCCCCTTGCATCGGATCAGGAGGCTGTTCATGGGAGATCTGTGCCCTTCTCTAATAGGGAAGCCAAAGCTCTTTTTTATTCAGAACTACTTGGTGTCTGAGGGCCAGCTGGAGGACAGCAGCGTCCTGGAGGTGGACGGGCCAGCAGTAAGCAACGTGGAACCTAAGGCACAGAAGCTAGGGCCCAGCATGGCTCACCCAGAGGCTGACTTCTTTTGGAGTCTGTGTACAACACGTGTGTCCCTCCTGAAACGATCTTCCAGCTCCCCATCTATGTACCTGCAGTATCTCTCCCAGAAACTGAAAGAAGAAAGGTGAGCCACTCAGGAGGGGGCCAATCCTGGACCACCTGCTCGTATTCCTGCCACTCAGATGGGGATTACCACTATGCCATGTTTGATGCCCTTTTCTTCAGAGAGAAAGAGGGTTTTTTCCTTCACCATTGCTTTAGGAGTACAGTATAGACCCAGAACAATTTATGAACACTTGGTTAGCTTGTAGTGTGAATGTTTTCCATTGAAATTAAGAAATTATTTTATTTGTTTATTTTTTGGGGACAGAGTCTCACTCAGTTGCCCTGGGATAGAGTGCCATGGTGACATAGCTCGCAACAACCTCAAATTCCTGGGCTTGAGTGATCTACTTGCCTCAGATTCCCAAGCAGCTGGGACTATAAGAATGACCATTACAATGCCCAGCTAGTTTTTCTTTTTTTAGTAGAAACAGGTCTCGCTCTTGCTCAGGTTGGTCTCAAACTCCTGAGCTCAAGCAATCCATCTGCCTCAGCCTCCCAGACTCCTAGGATTACAGGTGTGAGCCACCTGCCAGCCAGTCCAGCTTTTTTTTTGAGACAGAGTCTCACTTTGTCACCCCCAGTAGAGTGCCATGGCTTCATAGCTCACAGCAACCTCAAACTCTTGGGTTCAAGCAATTCTCTTGCCTCAGCCTCCCAAGTAGCTGGGACTATGGATGCCCACCCCAACACCTGGCTATTTTTAGAGACGAGGTCTCTCTCTGCCTCAGGCTGGTCTTGAACCTGTGATCTCAGGTAGTCCACCCATCTTGGCCTCCCAGAGGGCTAGCATTACAGGTGAGAGCTACCTCACCTGGCTTCAGTCCAGCTTTTGAAATACAGAGAAAGGATTTTGTTTCAAAGTCCCCAGTGAAATCTCACAACAAAGTCATCACCAATACACAGTTGTTCCACGTTTGAGAAATAACCATCAGGAAATGGGCAAGAGCTAACGTCTTACCTGATGTACTTAGGAGCCTGCCCCAAAAGTAAAAGAACATTTCTTTCCAATTCAAGCAGTGAGCACTTCAGTCACAACAGAACATGCACCAAAATGTTTTGCTCAATGTATTTTGTTTTATTTATTTATTTATTTATTTATTTATTTTTTGAGACAGAGCCTCAAGCTATCCCCCTGGGTAGAATGCTGTGGCATCACAGCTCACAGCAACCTCCAACTCCTGGGCTCAAGCGAGTCTCCTGCCTCCACCTCCCAAGTAGCTGGGACGACAGGTGCCCTCCACAACGCCTGGCTATTTTCTGGTTGCAGCCATCATTGTTGTTTGGCGGGCCCAGGCTGGATTCGAACCCGCCAGCTCAGATGTATGTGGCTGGTGCCTTAACCTTTTGAGCCACAGGCGCCGAGCCGCTCAATGTATTTTGAAATGAGTGCCGCATGTTATGCTAAACCTTATTGATCACTGATCAGAATGCAGCTGACACCTGGCTGCTTAGCAGCATGTGCAAAGGTCAAATCAGAGTAATGAATACACCTGCCATCATCACCCATTTCCCTGTAAAACTGGGTGTCTAGCAGGCACCCATGTCCTCACACTTCCTAAAACAAGTCCACCTTCTGGGCCAGCACTGCCCAGTAGAGTTCCCTAGGATGACAGAAATGTTCCTGTATGTCCCATATGCGAGCCACTTGCCACATGCTCAGCACAGGACAAATGGCTGGAGCTGGGAGGAGCGAGGAGTTGATTCTGTTTGAGTCTCAACATCCCCACATGGTGAGTGGCCCCCTGGAGCCCAGTGTGCCTAAAAGGAGATGGTGGGTCACCGTGAACATGTTTCCATGGTCATCACGAAACCGTCTGCCTACAGATCTCCCCTGGAGAGAGATGTGGCCAGCATGAATGGTGTTCTGGGTATGTAAGAAGCATGAGCTGCCTCTGCTGCAGTTTACAGGTTGCCTCTAACATGAAGAAGAAACGCTCCCAGGCATTTCTGCTACCACCCTGCATTCTCTTTGTTAACCCACCAGGCTGCACATCCTCCCTCCACCAGAAGGGAGCACAGACACCAACAACAGCCTGTGTTGAGCATGAACATTCTACAGCCATATCCACCATGCTGTTTCCTGAGCTGTGCTGGTCAGGACCTAACTGCCATACCTTTTTCTTTTTCTTTTCTTTTTTTTTTTTTGAGACAGAGTCCCACTCTGTTGCCTTCGGTAGAGTGTTGAGGCATTGTAGCTCACAGCAATCTCAAACTCTTGGGCTCAAGAGATCCTCTTACCTCAGCCTCCTGAGTAGCTGGGACTACAGCTGCTGGCCACAATGCCTGGCTAGTTTTTCTATTGTTAGTAGAGATGGGTCTCCCTCTTGCTGAGACTGGTCTCGAGCTCCTGAGCTCAGGCAATCCACCCACCTTGGCCTTCCAGAGTGTTAGAATTACAGGAATGAGCCACCGCACCCAGTCTACCTTTTTTTTTTTCTTAAAAGGAGATGCCAGGGTGAGGGGAAAACAAGTAAAACTGCCTTGCTCTTCTGAGGTTGTGAGTGCTACCACCAACTCAAAGATCAGCAGCAGCTCCAGGCCTCATCTTCCTGGTCTGCCCATTGGGCCCCAGGCAGGGGACTCCACTGCTGAAATAGCTTCTCTTCTGCTGGTAAGAGGTCATATTGTCGAAGGTAGCCTTGTAGACTCTCCTGAGGCTGGTGTTGGTGCCAGCCTCAGCAGGCTCTTCCAGCATGGCCCAGTTCCCATGAAGAACACCAGAGAATTTCTTGAACTTGGCACTTGAAGGAACCAACTGCCAATGGCCATCCACAGGCCTGCAGAGCACCTGTGGGCCTTCCTGGGACCTGACACAGCCCCTGTGTCTCCTCACAAGCCACGTCCTACACTTGGTGCTGGAATGTCAGTTTCTGTCTGTACATCAACTGCTATCTGAGGGCATTGAGCTGGAAGGTGGAGACCATAGCACTGCTGTCCCACAGAAGTGTCACACAGCCCTCCTGGCTCTAGAAGGTGATCCTGGATGCAGCAAACCTCTTTTGGTCCTGAGGTCCTGGCAACTCCCACAGACTGGCCAGGTGAAAGCAGCACAGTTGGTGGCTGCTTTTGTACTCCCAGAGCCTCAAAGGAGGATAGGAGCAGCTCAGGATAGGACAGGAGCAGCTCAGGATAAGCAGGCACCACAAGATGTGGCTCAGGCAGAAGGACTTGTCTAAGGCAGAAGGACTTGATGCTGTGGGGCACTGTCACCCTGCTCACCCACATGTCTCTGGCTGGCAGTGAGGATATGTAATAGCAGAGACAGGTGCCCAAGTTCAAGATGGCTGCATCCCCACAGCTCCAACACCAAAAAGTAGTAGATGTCTTGACTTGTCAACCACCAAGACCTTCCCTTGGAGCCAGCGAAGGTCAGAGTTGTACACCTCTGCACCATGATCCTGACACTCCGACATTGTGAAGGTTTGGTGCAGAAAAAAATCAGTCGCTTACTGTCATCAGTTAAGGCAAAATAGCTGCCAGACTTGGAGAAGGTGGATACTAGCATCGCTTCTCTGGGTGAAGGGTGGCCCATGCCCCCTTTCTTTTCTTGTGACATCTTTTCTTCAGTACTGCAGTCATCGATGAGGAGGCTGTTGTCATTGCTGCTTGTAGTGGAGGTGACCAGGAATTGGCTGCCACTCCACACCATCAGTATCTGCCCCCACATAAGGCCAGCTCCATGGAACTCCAAGCTTTTACTTTTTTTTTGAGGCAGAGTCTTACTTTATTGCCTTGGGTAGAGTGCCAAGGCATCACAACTCACAGCAACCTTAAACTCTTGGACTCAAGCAATTCTATTGCATCAGCCTCCTGAGTAGCTGGGACTACAGGAGCCACAGTGCCCCACTACTTTAAGAGACTGGGGTCTCTTGCTCAGGCAGGTCTCGAACCCATGAGCTCAGGTAATTCACCCATCTTGGCCTCCCAGAGTGCTGGGATTACAGGCATGAGCCACTGAGCCTGGCCAAGTTTTGACATTTTGATAGATGAAAAGTGGCATCTGACTGTCCAGGTCTGCAAATGTTTTGTTATATAAACATGTTTTATGTTTATTGGTGAGAATGCTTTTCTAAGGAACACATTGGTGTCCTGGTTTTCATTTAAGCTGAATGAAGCCACCATGTACCTCGAGTAGCCACTTGCACCCTAATTAGAATTAGAGTGAAGTTTCTGAGCCACTTGTCAATACATTCTGGACTGTTGTTCCAAGGACCCCAGGAATAAATCTCATAACCTCCTCAGTGGTGACTCAGCAGGAAGGTGAGGGCTAAAGGGAGCCCACTGACCTTCTCCCAAGGTCAATGCTCCATGGGCCAGTCCCTTCCATATTTGCATAGACGATCCCTGTGGGTTAGCATGTACCTGGTGTAAGTAAAACTCAGCGGTTCCTTGAGGGAGGAGGGGACAGGAGCCACCCTGGGCCACAATCCTGCAAGCTGGTTTAAATCATTCATGGCGCAGCTTGTGGAACATTTAGAAAGAAACTGCCACAAAGCACCTTCACATCTGTGGGCTCATTTCACCCTAATGACAATCTGTCTTATCTCTGATATTTGCATGGCATTAAATTTTGCTTTTCTTATCTCTTCCAGAAAACGCCCACTCCTGGATCTCCACATTGAACTCAACGACAATGTGTATAATTGGAATAGCAGAGTTTCTGCTAAGGAGAAATACCACATCTCCCTACAACATACTCTGCGAAAGCAGCTCATCTTCCCTTACAAATGAAAAATCAAAAGCCTTGCAGAGCCTGGGTGAGCTGGGCTCTGTGTGGGGATGGCACGGCCCTGCGTGACTAGAAGGAAGATGGAGCCAGATGCCAAACTAGAGGGGCAGCCCTGACCCTACTTACTGAAGTCCTGCTGCTGGGAGTCCCCTTCCTCCCCGGACTAGTATGTTCGGGCTTCCCTGCAGGCCGGGGCCCGAGAGTGGAATGGTCGCCAAGGCCCGAGAGTGGAATGGTCGCCGAGGCCCAGGGCAACGGGCTTCCGCGCACCAGGTGAAGGGAACTGGGAAGCCTCGAGGCCCGCCCACCACCCCCGTCCCAAATAACTCCAGGCATGAAAACCCCTGCAAGGCAGATGTACAGTAGCAACGTGTCTGTGTCTACTGATGTAACTACCTCACAAATTCCAGCTTCAGAACAGTAGACCCTTTAGGAGTCTAAAACCATTCAAACGATCTTCTAGGAGATTTGTTTGGAGTGCCAAGCTTCTCTGAAAGAGCACAGGAAAATATATACAATGATCTACAGAAACTTGGGAATTGTCAAATTCAGATACATCTGTGACTGAGAACAAACATCACCTTGAAGATGGGAATAATCAACAGGATCCTGTGCCAGGGCTACAGGAAGAGAAATCTTCTTCAAATTTGGTTTCCAGATTATCTACCTCATCCAGAAGGAGAGCCAAAGGTGAGACAGAAGAAAATTCAGACGAATTGTCTGGAGAAGGACAGAGAAAATGGCATTGAGCTGATAGTATTTCCCTTTCCTTTGATGAAAGCGTGGCTCTGTGTGTGATCAGGGAGATGTGCTGTGAAAGCGGC